AAATGAGAAAAATGAGAATAGTTTTAATTCGTTAACCTACCAAAGCACTAACGATTCGACCATCCAAGGCAGCAACATATACCGACAATATAGTCCTGAACACTAGATTTATATTAAAATATTAATAACATGTTAGTAAATGTAATGTAACTAAGTATAACTAAGTAAAACTAATAAAATTAAGAATAATCACCTAAGAAGAATGAATGAATAATCAAAAGCCATAATTCTTTTGATCTTATACCCGGGATTATAATCCTGAGCAACTTTTTCAATCGTTCAAAAAAGACGCTATCAACCTATATAAAGATCGTAAAAACATTTAACAGAATATCATAAAATATTAATAGTAACCTTCAAAGATACATTACCTCCACCTTACTGCTCTTTGGTTTTTCACCTTCATTTGCAGTTTCAGCGGTACTTTCTTGTTCATTAGTAATGCGTTTTTTTTTTGGAGAATTACGATTTCTGACATAAAGGAAATAAACAGAAAAAATCCAGATTGACCATCCCAATGTTGTCCGATTATTTTTATATATATTCCATATTCGTTCAATCAATTGTCTTATTTTTGCAATATTAGAATTACTTGAGGAAAACTTTAATAAGTCGGAAATTTTAGAAAGCACCGCTGGCATTTTTCCTTTCAGAGATTTTGAAAGAAAAAAACCTTAAAGCATTTTTATGTTGCATTTAATCGATGTTTTTATTTGCCGATTATCCATCTTATCAGATCAGATGTAAAAAGTATCAAAATTTTGAAAATTTATATCAATTTAAGAAAATGAGGCTAAGAAGCCACACTAAAAAAATTCTTGAAACTGAAAATGATCAAAGAAAAGAACAACCTTCTAGCGATGTATATGAAATTAATGAGCCAGAGGAAAAGCAGCAAATTGATTTAGAAGACCAAAAATTAGATGTAAAAGATATGAATGGAGACGAACAAGACGAACATATGGATAACGTCCAGTGGGGTTCCAGCTTCCAGTCCAACAATACTGCCGGATTGGTTTACTTATCACGAATCCCACCATTTATGAAGCCGGCAAAGATTAAGCATTTGTTGAGTCAATTTGGCGAAGTAGGAAGGGTTTATCTTGCACCTGAAGGTATACATTGTCAAAACTACTTTGAAATAAATTTGAAATATCACTTTACAAATGCTTTTTTTTTTTTTTTTAATTTATTAGATTCCAAAATAAAAGCTCGACGAATAAAATATAAAAAAAATAGAAAACAAAATTACACTGAGGGATGGGTTGAATTCATGGATAAAAAAGTCGCAAAAAAAGTTGCAAAAGTTTTGAACACTCAACCAATTGGTAATGATTTTATTTATTTTTATGCTATTATTTCTCGCCACGGCGGGAATCCTTAATTATATGGGAGCCCGAAGGGCTCTCATATAACTCTCGTAGTGAGAAATAAGAGTTTTATTCTTCGTTTTGTATGATGCCATGACGATGGTTTAGTGACTTACAGTCAGTGCTGTCACTGGAATAAGTCCAGTTAATAATATTACTGGACAGGACTTGAACAAATACTGGAATTATTCCAGATCAGTTATTCCAGCCTAGTTATTCCAAAAAATTATTATATGAAATAAAAGTTATTGCAAATAATAGTGAATAGCTTTTGATTTGTAGTCATTTTAGATAATTTTACCACCAAAATGCCCGGTTTAATGAAACGATTCCAACGAACTCAAAATCATTAAAATCTAATTACAGAATCTCGGGATCCTGTAATTGGATTTTAATGATTTTGAGCTTGTTGAACTCGTCTCATTGAGATGGTAAAATCATCCAAAACGAACCAATAGATCAAAAATTATTCACCACCAAAGATTTTTAATAGTAATTTCGCATATGATGTTTTACACACCTAGCCAAAATTAATATCATGTGATACCTGACAACTTTTATAATTCCAGTACTCTGTGTTCCAATGACTGGTTTGGAGTTCCAGTTGAATAGTCCAGTCCAGATGACAGCACTGCTTACAGTCTATTCAATCTATTCTAATTTATTATTAAACAGGAGGAAATAAACGTGGTGTTTACCATGATGATTTATGGAACATCAAATATTTACCAAAATTCAAATGGAATAATTTAACAGAGCAAATAGGTGCAATATTAATTAATAATAGTTTTTTTTTTATTGCGAGAAAAAATTTTCGGTATTAATATAATTTTTGTCACAATATAGTTTACGAAAATAGAGAGAGAACGCATCGTCTTCAAGCCGAAATTTCTAAATCTCGAAGAGAAATCAAAGATTACGTAAAAAAAGTAGAGAAATCAAAAATGATACGAAATATTGAGCAGAAGAAAACAAAGCGTATGGCTATAGAAAATGAATCTTTTTCCTAATCGATTTATGATACGAGTTACATACTTTTTGCAATACAATTAAAAAAATGTTTTAAAAAAGGATTTTACTAAAACGCACCTATGGTGTTTTTACACCATAGGTTCCGTTTCTCAAAAACATACTAAGTAAACGGGATCGGGTTCTCTAAGTAAAAATGTTCAGGACCCCCAAAAACCTCACAAAAACTGAGATTGGGACCTTATATTAGCTCTATAATATATTATATAAAAAAAATAATAATTCTTAATTTTCTAACCCTAACCCTAAATTTTATTAAAAGAAATTATATATAGGTGCTAAAACACCATAGGTGCGTTTTATAATAATTCTTAAAAAAAAATTTTCTTGAAATTTTAAGAAACAAAATATTAAAAAAAGTTTTTTATAAAAATTTTATTTTCTTGCCTGCTACTTGGTTTAATACTATTATATTATAAATAAATTTATGCATGCATGAACAATATTGTAATAGCAGAAGATTCTAGAATATTATTAATTATAAGATATAGGCTAGGTGCTGAGAAAAAAGACCGCAAAAAATAAGTTTTACGAAAATTGATCTTTATATTATAAAGTCTATATTATTAAGAAAAATATATATCAAAAGGTTATATATACTACAAAATTTTATTAATACAACAGCATTTAAGTAAAAAATGTTTTGAGCTAATTTTGGATTAGGTATAATAAATATATAAAAAAGTTTTTTTTAATTAATTTAAAAAATAGTTAAAAAATGTCTTGCACTATAGTATATGTACGAAAAAATTAAAGTTTTGAGAACTAGAGTCCAAATTTTTAAGTTTTACACTTTATAATAAAATATTGTACTTTATAATATATTAGGATTTATATCGATATAATTCTTTAGTAAAAACCTTTCTCGCGTCAATTGTCCATCTAATGTTAATATAGCTAAAAAAAAAAAAAAAAAAAAGATTCTTTATGAGAAAACACGTAATTAAGATCTGCAACAGCATCACAAAACTTTTGATGATTCTAAATAATTTATTACGTGCCAGACTTCGTGATCTCTTTCAAAATTTAATTTAAAGATTGTACTTTAATTTATGCTAACTTCTTTCTTATTTGTCCGTCTTTGATTTATGTTCTCTTTCGATTAAGTTCTTGCGTTTTTGCATTATAACTAGAAAAAAAACCTACAATATTTATGATATTATTTGATACCGAGTGTTTAACTAATATGCTATTTTATTAAAAGTCAATTTATGCGTACTACAGTCAGACCTCCCTAAATGCATATTCTCTAAATGCATAGTCTTTCTAAATGTATGGCTTTGTTTGGCCCCAACTCATATGACACTTATAGATTTTACCTCCCTAAATGCAATACCTCTCTAAATGCAAGATTTTCTGGCCGCCCGAGGCTATGCATTTAGAGAGGTCTGACTGTATTTGTTCTTCGTTTTTATAGGATGTCATGACGGAGTTTTATGACTTATAATCACCAATCAGTAAAAAAACCAGTTTTTAGCAATGCAAGTTATTTCCCGGAAGTCCGAGGAAATAATATAGATATTTCCCGCATAGACGAGAATAAGAGGTAATCCCCAATCATCTGGGTCTTTCTGATCTCCGAATAATTGGAATTTACTGAGTTATTCCTTCGAAGCGGGAAACAAGGGCGTTATTCTTCGCTTAATAATGACGGGGTTTTTCAATTTGAATAATATAACTGTTTTGCCGTACTGACTAAGAGAATTATATAATAGTCACTTTAATTAAAAGAATTTAAAAACTTTTATCCCTATTAATATATATTAAGAGTATTACAAAAAAAAACCTTCGTCCTAAATATCTCTATATAATGTGATTAAGCGAATTTAAATCCCTCGTTTAAATAATACCATTGCGACCGCTAAGATACTGTATTATAAAAACCTTCATCCAAAATAAAATTATCGTATAGACTAAAAAGTTATCTATAAAATTTAAATGCCCCTGGAAAATAACGAGATTTACTGGGAAATAACATTTCCAGGGAAATAAAAGGCATTGTGATCATATAGGAACTAGAGCTCTTACTCGGGTCGGGTTGACGGGTCACAGATCAAAAATTGGCTCGACCCGGATTAAACAAGTCATGGATAACATGGATAAAATTTCATGGATAATATAGATAAAATCTAACGATCCAACATTTTTGACATAGAAAATGGATGAACCCAAATTACAAGGTTGAGAAATTTTTGGATACAAAATCTGAAAAGTTCCGGTTTAAATATTTGTTATATATATATTAACATAACAGAATTTATAAAGTTTTATAATTTATGTTGTATCTACTCTTTAAACTCTCGAGATAACCTAATAACTATTGACCCAGGTAATAACTCTAAATAAGAGTCGTTACGCCAACTTTATGTAAGTATTAACTTTAAAATCTTTTATGATTTTTCATATGACCCATTAACCAGGGTCATTATTTTCTGACCCGGGTAATAGAACGCGGCTACTATATTTTAAACCAAGATTTCGGTATTCAACGTTGAACCTAATTTAGGAACTTTAGTTATTGAACTTAAAATTTTGGATCAGCTGAAGTGGAAACCGGGACATTCCTAAAATTCAGTAAAGGCTTGAAAGGCCCCACTTCGTCCCTCATCTCCAGCCAACAACCAAATCAACAATTTTTCGACATTACTCTTAAAATGTTCGTTCGATATTTATTACGTGACGCTAAACATGGTTGCTACGCAATATTTTTTTTTTAAAAAAAAAGTTTGTTACGCAACATGCTTTTTTTTAAAGATGTTCATTATGCAACGACGATTTTTTTAATGATATTCACTACGCATTGAAATCTTTTATTAAAAAAAAAAAAAAAAAGAGGTTGTCACACCATAACGTTTAGATCCTCTTGTAAAGAATAGATTAGTATATATATATATATATATATATATATATATATATATATAGCAATCTTCATTGTAGAGTAGATCTAACGTGATAGAATCACTGATATCCTAGAATATGATTTCAACAAAACAATAAACATTTAGTTCATGCCAGTTGTGTGGATTGAACACACGACCTTCAGATATCACTAAGAACTTCAGTCTGACGCTCTCCCAACTGAGCTAAACTGGCTTCACATAATTAATGTTGTCATTTCAGTAATAAATAAAAAATTATTTTATTTTATGCATATAATTTATATTCATTTTATATGATTATTAGAGATGCAAAGTTAAGTTTACCGGATTGTGTTAGTTAAACCGATCGACTCTTCGACATTACGTGGTTCTTATTACATCTAAACATAACTTAAAAGGGGAAATCTCAACAATAATTACTAATCATTCTATTGTTAAATTTCCTTTTTGATTTACGACTCTAATCGTGAAATAGAAATGATTAACTGCTTAATATAAGTTTACAAATTTTATATAATGAATAACTTTGAAAATGCATTATTTTAAATCTTAATTGTCCAGAGCAGAGTAGAGTATGTCTACCTTCCGTGGACTATAATTCGGAGAATCATGTATTTAAATTAGAGATGCTAGGTTCGACCCTGATCATAGGAACAAAGATCGACGATCTAACCGCATGTACAATTATCAACTGCACGGCAAAAAGTTTTTTTTTTTCGCATGTATATCGATCGAGTCACTAGAACCCGGGTTCGGGTCAGCTTCTTGACGGGTCAGTTCAAAAATTGGCCCAATCCGGGTTAAGCGGATCATGGATAACATAATAAAATTCATGGATAGTACTTCTGACGTAGAAAATGAGAAATTTTTCAATGCAAAATCTGAAAAGTTCTGGTCAAGTATTTTTTTATATATTAATATAACAGACACAGCATAAAATTATAAAATTCTATAAAATCTACTCTTTTCTCGAAGGAGCATACATAATTATTGACCCAAGTGGTAGCTCTAAATAAGTCGCTACATCAACTTTATGATTTTCCATATAACCCATTAACCCGGTCAATATCTGACTCGCTCGGGTAATTATTTTCTGATCCGATTAATAACTCTAACTAGTATTAAAGTTTTTTACTTAGCGCTACAATAATTAGTAATATGGTGTTATGGGTGCCGCTCAAAATCCCGACAAACAGATCTCGATAGGTCATAATCCCGACAAAAAAAATCCCGACAACAAAAAAATTGCAGTATTAAGTCCATTTATATAAGTTAGGTTAGGGTTAGGGTTTATGCAATTATATAATAAAATTGTTCAAGGAAAACTTTTTTGATTGTCGGGATTTGTCGGAATTTTTTATTGTCGGAATTTTTTTGTCGGGATTATTGACCTGTCCTGGTGTTATTGATAGAAATCTGTATTACCAAATAAACTTTTAGGTTTTTCCAACATTTCAATAAAGGAATAATTTTATGAGTCAATTTATGTAACGCTTTAGATCTAAGATCCGACAGTTCAAGATTCCGACATCATTAGATGGTATATATTTGAGTACTTACGTACGTATGTATATTACTGAAAATTTTTTCATGATTATTAAAAATATAATATTTTAAATTTTTGGCTTAATTGACAGGCCAAACTGTATCATATTTCTAAATTCTAAGTTGGTTAGTTACATGCTGATATGACCGATAAAAAATTAAAGTTTATGCTGTGCATTAAATTAATATTGCTTCAGATTAAAATAATTATAATCTGACTAATACCTATCCTTAACCTAGCATAGGCTTTCACCCTAACTTTAATAATATTTTAACAGATCTTTTAATACCAACTAAACAATGTTCAAGACTAGTTTCATACAGTACTGAAGTAGACATTTTTACAACCTTTTAAAATATATAATTATTAGTCATATGCGTAAATCGAAAATTGATAAAATCAATGCCCGTAAAAAAAAAATCTGGAACAAAAATTTATTTGTTTCCATATTTTTTTATACTTTTTTTTTCAAATTTCTTTAAGATTTTTCTGGTAGGATTTCAATTAAAAGAAATTCTATTGTAGTTTAGGGCAACTCTTGTAAACCTTGATTGTT